AAAGTAAAGGCATAAGCCATCACTATATGCGTCCAAAATCTGCAATGCAATAAATATAAATATAGGGGCACACTGAAAAAGAAAAGGAGAAGATATTCCTGAAGTAGAAGATGGTAGGATGTGAACAAAAAAATACAAAACAACATGTGATTGTCTTGAGGAATAAGAATTCGACAGCTACATAATAATTTACATGTATTCTACACATACAGAATAATCTATGCGTAAAGTTATCCATAAAGGGTCATTATGCTATATAACATGGTAAAAGAATTGTGATCAATATATCTGAATATATCAAGATTCATCAAAACTCGGAGATGACAAGGAAGCAGAAGTTAGCAAAGGAGGATGGCTTTCTACCTTTGTGATTTAAGTGGTATATTCGAAATTGAAAGCTTGTCAATGTCACTAGCTGTCACGTTGGCCACCATTTTGACTGCCTCTAGAGCATTATTGGTGTAATTGACTGGCACCAGGATAGCCAAAGCAACGAATGCTATAGGTACAAAAATCTTAAGTCTGCGTAGGCAACAAAATCGAGCTCAGCACGTAATAACAAATGACATAAACATTTTCAGAAACATCTAGTCCGCACAAGTACAGCACATACTCTTTCATCAAGAAATAAGCATAAAAAAGAGCGAGAAACAAAAGAAAAACGGATTACCCCATCAAGTAAATGCGCAAGTAAACAGCAGAATCCAATCCTGCATGATCAATAAGCTCAGGCTCCGGCATTTTAAGCGCTTCCGGCATCCAATTTAAAAACCGGATATATGACCTAAAGTCTAAATTCACCACCCTCCGAACAAATGCCCCAGAGCGCGAGGGGCTGCTTCTTAAGCCCTTCAGATACCATTTTGGAAAGTAAACTCTATCGTTGAAGGGTTGTAGCCTCAAAATTGCAAATGCCAATAAGAAAATGAATGCACTCAGTAAATTTATAGCCCCCGAAACCGCTATATCTGCAAGCGTTGCCATTTATACCTTCAAAAAAAGAGCCAAAACAAAAACCTTATAAAAAACATTAAAAACAAACAACTTCTCAAGCAAATTTAAAAAACATATAAAAAATTCAACTACTATATTTAACATCCAACAGCTCCTTTCAATCCCTATACGTCAAAACAAAAGATAGCAACTTTTCAAGTAAAATCTCAAAAAGATCATCTTTTTATACTTATAAAGCAAATCAATCAAAATTAAACGAATCCTAATCACACATCAAATTAATCTCCATATTCAATAAATTTTTCCATCTGCCAGAAAACACATCAAATAACAGGGAAAAAAATCAACACAGCAGGTAAACCAAAGGAGCTCAAAAAGAAATTTGCTTACTATTAACCAACTTCTTTCCTTATCTCCAATGATATATTGACCTCTCAATCTTCAAAAAAAAAAAAACCGAGAATGTTGAGTTAGCAAGTGTTTGGATAACTTTATAGCTTAATCCAAGAAAACAGTAGGCTTCCTCTCCGTTCGAAAGGATAAGTAGCTAGCACGCTACCACACACGCCTTCACTAATTATTGTGATAATAAATACAGATCAAAAGGTAAGGTCCGAAAATGGGAATATAGAGTACAAGAAGATGAAGATGGGGAGAAAGTAGAGAGAAAAGATATCGGAAAGTGAAAATTTCCCGTTCTGGTTGTTTCGATGCTAACGTTATCGATTTCAGACCATCTTTTTTTATAGTGCTAGAAAGTGCGCTTTCTCTCTCAGCTCGACTCGAGAAATGAGAGCTACAATTCAGTACTGCAATTTTCACGAGTATTTCATTTTAGTCCTTAAACCACTAATTCTTGTAGATTCACCATTTCTGTCTTGAAATTAATAAATCATCGCTTGTCTTGAAATTAAGTTCTCATATCACTTTTCTTTTTCTTTTTTTTTGATGTGGCTGGTTGTGGTGTCCCATCACCATATCTTTATTTTTGTGCTCAAAATGCAATCAAATCCTAAGCTTGTGAGAATTGTATCAAACTCACTAGTATTTTGTTTTTTCAGGAAATGTGATTGAGGAAGTTGATTGTTAGTTCAATAATAATTGTAATTAAATTGCATGATATTAAAGTTAAGGGACTTAATTGAAATTACACTACTACAAGCGAACACTATTTTGTATTTAGGAAAACAACAAAACAACCCAATTACGACAAATAGTATTATTTTATGCTCTTACACGTAAGAGTACTTGTGACGAGCCAACACTCGTGTCGGCAAGTTGCCAGGTGGTATTTGTAACGGCTACTTTGCGGATTGTGAAAGGAAGAGGACATCTATTCACGCGCTGTTTGAGAGGCTGTGGCTCACGATCCAATTAAAATGGTGATTAGTGGGATCTGTGAGAGATTGTGTTTTTTGATCACCCTGCTTTCATTTTTGTTTAGTTTAATCTTCTTACTATCTTCAGTTTCAATTTAGTCCCTCAACTTCTAAAATCATTCTATCTCTCGATCTACAATCACTAAAGATCATCTCGAAAAGAGTTGAAAACAAGATAATATTAGTATACAATAATTTTATTCCATGAAAATTTGTCGTACAAAGAAGGTAATAACTCTATAAAAGGACGACATTAAGATCATAGATCAAGAGAGGACCATATTGGAACATAAGTAAGGAAACAGGGACCAAATGGTACCCTATGAAAACAATATTTATGGAGAGGCAAGTGGATAAAGTGTGGATTGCGTGTGCTCTTTGAAACTGGGGGAGACAGCAAGCAGTGAGTTGGAGGTGACCGGCTTTACAGTAAACGCTGTCTTAGTTTTCCAACTGTTTTTTTTTAGATTAATGTGGGTGTTCGGGCCAGTTTACACGCACCACGATTAATCCTACGGGTCCTGAAATTAACGACCATGTAAGCCTCCAGTGGCCATCATATGAGCAACCAAGAACTCGAACCTGAGACCACAGAGGGAGCAAACCCCTTGATCCCAAATTTTTACTACTTGACCACCACCTAGATAGTTAGTTTTCCAACTGTTTTACTGAGAATGCATGTTGACTCCAATTTTATTTAGGATCGACACGATTTTATTTTTTTATTTGTAGATAATGATATTTTAGGATTGGGACATCACAACTCCAATTTTATTTAGGATCGACACGATTTTATTTTTTTATTTGTAGATAATGATATTTTAGGATTGGGACATCACAAGTCAAAATTCGATGATTATGCAGAAAAAAGACTTTGAATTTCTTTTTCTTTTTTATATATATTAAAAGACAAAAAAAACTGGAACTAACGTGATCTCAAGACCTTCCACCGCCGCGGCATAGGAAGACGGGTGGGGATGGTGTGCCGTTCGTGTGTGGTTGGTGGCCGTCCAAGGAGGAGAAGATTGATTTAAGAGCAGAAATTATGACTTTTTTTTTTAATTTCTTACTGTTCATTTAAAACAAGAATTAAATCCCACGTGAGATGATTCAATCAAGAAATTAAGAGTTTTTGCTGCTGGATTATTTAATTAATTCAATGATATATCTTGGCCTGCCCACTGGCCGGTGGACCAAATCTGCCCACACAAATGAAAATAAAGTTAGGAGTGGTTGAAACATTGATTAATTTAATATTGGAATATTGAAGGCGATGCTACTCCGTCGGATTTGGATTTATTTTATATATCATAACAATAACAATTCTTGGCATGATCATCATTTCATGGGAGGACTTCGGAAGGAAGGGGCCAAGAGAGTCCGCATACTTGAAGCCATCCAAGATCTGTATTTGTTCAACAACCGCTCTATCATCCTCATGAAGTCGCCAATATTGTCAAGCCTGTGGAAGAAAACGCTCCCAAGAAAGGTCATCTTTAATTTGTTGCGTGAAGGTGAATTTGTTGAAGAAGAAGCACCCTGGGATGGTGTTTTTTTTTGGCTTTTCATCGTATTTTCAATACTCGAAGTTTTGTTGGATTTGGATATTAGTCGAGGTGCCAAAAGGAAGATTGATTTGGATAGTGGTTTACTCCTTCACGTCCATCGCACACTGTATTTCTTGCGGAGATCATAGTCACTTCTCTACCATAGTAGGTAAACCTGAAGGGGGAACACATAGCTTTGAGTTTGGTTGATTTACTGCATGATAAATTTATTTAAAAAAAGCTTGAAGTCGTGCTATAATTAAAGATGATTCCGTACAATAATTCAATAGAGAAACTCTTGGTTAGTGTTATACGAAAGAAGAGATAAACACTTATATATACAATAAATAGAAACTTATTTTGTTAGAAAGTAAGAGACGAGGAAATGAAAATAAATATTTCCCAGTAATTTCGTCTTTTGTCTTGTAATAGCAGCCAAACGATGCCTAAGATTCCTTCTAAAGCAAGCACACTATATATTACAAATGGAAGGATAAATTTGCCCCTAAACTATCTTATATGTCTTAATCAGGTCTCCCACCAATGGATTGTCTCAATCAAGTACCCTTAGGCCTCAACTACTCCATTTTTTATCAACCAAACCCTGTTGTCATCTAAAGGTGTGTATATATATATAGGATTGTTGTAGAGGAAAATTTTATAATACAAGGAAAATAACTAATAATATTTTATTAGTTACTCTCAACTACAAATTTTCACAAGAAAAAAATTACAAGTTTTGGAAAAATAAATAATTACACGTGAAATGAATATGGAAAGAAAATAATTTAGAAATTCAAAGAACAAAGTTAATAAAACAGAAAAAAATAAGGTGTGTGTATATATATATATATATATAGGATCGTTGTAGAGGAAAATTTTATAATACAAGTAAAATAACTAGTAATATCCTATTAGTTACTCTTAACTACAAATTTTCACAAGAAAAAAATTACAAGTTTTGGAAAAATAAATAATTACACGTGAAATGAATATGGAAAGAAAATAATTTAGAAATTCAAAGAACAAAGTTAATAAAACAGAAAAAAATATAATCAGGATTTATAGTGGTAACAATCATTGCAATGCACAGGCATTATCATTAAATGAACCAACACCCTCAATCGTCAGGGTTGGATGAAAGTATCATAAGTGCTACCACAACTGATCTCATGCTTGGTCTTAGTTTGAGGAATTTCCTGTGTGTACAAGCTCTAGCAAGCTGAGCCATCTGTGAACAAAACAAAAAACTAAAGTATTGCAGTAATGACACGGGTCTAGATTGCAGAAACTTGGATTTCCTATGATCAAATTTCACCTTGCAAACGGAGTCAAGAGGGTAGTCATCTCCAAGCCTAGGATCAACTAGTTTAGGGAAATTTTCTCTTGGATCAGGCTGTCTCAGAACATCCTCGAACTGCAGAAGATCCAGACATACAAGACAAGTTATTAAATGTACTCACGAGGCATGTGAGCAATGAGGCACTTCCAACTTCGGTAAGCTTTGTCAAACCAAAATCTGCAACCTGTACAAAATATTATCTTGGAGTACTCTTCACATAAATAGACTTCAGAGGCTACAGTATGAATACGGGACGATCGACAACCTTTCCGCGGAAGTTTTTGTCTATCAGAATGTTTGCTGATTTGACAACATGGTGGATATTTACAGGTACAGTATGCTCATGGATGTATTCAGGGCCTCTGGCCAAGTCTAGAGCTATGTGAACCCTAGCTCACCATGGCAACGGAACCTTCCCTGGGAAAAGAACAGATCTTCAACATCATCATTAGAATAACTTGACACAAAAGCTAGAAATTGATTATGTAGATGCATTCTTACCCGAATTATTTGCAAATGTTGACTTAGATTTTCATTCTCAATGAACTCATTGACCAAGAATAAGGAATCTTCATTGCCAAAAAATTAGTAAATATAAACGAAAACAACAATGATTTTTTTTTTCTTGTCGGTATTTTATGATGATATTTACATATCAAAATTTTTCATCGATAAATACAAATAAAAATATATCGTCAATATATATCGAGGACATTACAGTTGAAATAGAAGGAATTAAAAAAAAAAAACCAAACAGTGTTATTGTAACCCAATTTTGGCCAATTAGCCTTTTAATTTAATTTTACAGGGTTTAAAATATAAAATTAAAATATCAAAGATTTATTTCAATTAAAAGTATGATTTGTTAACTTGCGTGAAAACTAGAGACTACAATGTGTTTTTGTCATTTTATCTTTATCTTCAAGATGATTTATATTTTTAAGATAATCCTTATCTTCAAGATAATAATAGTTATCCGCTTTCAAATTTAATTCTTAATCAAATTCAAGCTTCAAAAAAAAAATGAGTTTGATAGAAATTTTGTTTCTCATATGCGAAGGGACCCTGGTACTATAAATACAAATCTCAGTGTATGCACAAAAAGGGAAGATAATATAGAGAAAAAAAAACAAAGGAAAAAAATAGAGAAAAAAAACAAGGGAGATGATGGAAGTGAGAAAATAGAGGAAAGAACCTTAAAAAAACCAAGAACAGAGGGAGGAAAGACTGAAAAGAGAAGGAGAATGAGAGCATTCTGCATTCGATGCCTACATTGTTACCTTCGCCTTCGCCTTCGGCTTCACCAAGTAAAATCTTATTCTTCTTTCTGTTTTTCTGTCATTCTATCTTTATCTTCAAGATAATTTATATTTTTATTTTGTCATTTTATCTTTATCTTCAAGATGATTTATATTTTTAAGATAATCCTTATCTTCAAGATAATAATAGTTATCCGCTTTCAAATTTAATTCTTAATCAAATTCAAGCTTCAAAAAAAAAATGAGTTTGATAGAAATTTCGTTTCTCACATGCGAAGGGACTCTGGCACTATAAATACAGATCTTAGTGTATGCACAAAAGGGAAAGATAATATAGAGAGAAAAAAAACAAGGGAGATGATGGAAGTGAGAAAATAGAGGAAAGAACCTTAAAAAAACCAAGAACAGAGGGAGGAAAGACTGAAAAGAGAAGGAGAATGAGAGCATTCTGCATTCGATGCCTACATTGTTACCTTCGCCTTCGCCTTCGGCTTCACCAAGTAAAATCTTATTCTTCTTTCTGTTTTTCTGTAATTGTTGCAAGAAAATAGTGTACGCTTGGGTTGAGCCACGCGTGCCTGCTCCTCAGCCAGGTCACTGGCTTAGAGCCAGTGACTAGGTTGGGTCTGTTGGGTCCAGCCCAGACAAAAAAAATAGAGATAGAGTGGGTTGAATCTAGACTTTAGATCCAACCGACCCAAATCATGTTCATTAAGGGTATGTTTTGCCAAACAGACTCTTATGCTTTAGCCATAATTTTTATTCTCATTTTAGTTGGATATTTGGTCAAACGAGCTCCTTTTCGATATCAAAAAATTTCAAAAATATTTGGAGATCTTTGTTGATTTCAAAAATATCTCACACTTTGATTTATTTTTTTCTTTGTGTTTTGTATTTTTTAAGTTATATGCTCAATCTGTGATTTATTGTTGTTAAATGTAAATATGTCGTGCAATATTTTTTTTTATTTCCATCTAAAAAAAGCAAATAATAATAAAGGGTAAATAAGAAAAAATGAAACAAAATTTCTTCTTTAATTTTTTTTTTTTTGCAAAAATATTAACTGATGTTAGAGTTAGGAGTATCGTATTTTTTGGATTTGTGCAATATTTACCAATGCTAGAGTTTGAAATTTTCATAGGAATTGTTCACTGATACCAGAGTCAGAAACATAAAAAGAAGAATAAAAAAGGAAAAAAGAAGAATAAATTCTTAGCAATTTTAGACAAGACCAACAATGCAACCTGCCTTAGGTAAGACGTTTAAGAGATGATTGCATCTTTCTTTTTGCATAATTAGTCTCGTACCATAGAATCTTTGTTAACCAATTAGAGTTTATAGTGACCATAATACTAGGTGGAAACTCCTTGAATAAGACTTTTTTTTTTTAAAGAACAAGATACTACATATCTGTTTTTTTCTTATTAAGATTAATTTTTAAATAATCACCATAATGTCTGAGTGTGACAAACATTTATTTTAATTTATAATTAAAACATGTGATCCTTCAAGAGAAAACTATTTTAAAAACAAATTGGATCAACAGCACAAGTGCTTGCTATAAGATCCTTTTTTTTCTAATTAAAATGATGATTTTCTTTATTAATTTTCTTTTAATATTTATTTCTGATTTTAAAGGCTAATAGTTTTAGTATGTTATAGTTCTCATTGGTCATTTTATATTTTAAAAAATCAACTATTGAATTTAACCAAATATAATTCCATCTTCTTGATTGCAGCTTTCTGCAAATACAGTAGGTGGAGGAAAGAGTAAGTTGATTCAGCGCGGAAGGGGTTAGATTCAAGCAATTTAATTAATCCTGTTATGAACGGCACTTAGCCAGTGGATGTTTTTCTCCAGGAGATTTCCTTGTTTCTTTCTTCTACATTTATTAATGATGAATCAATGATTGATAAAGATCATGACAACGAACCTAGCCTCTTAGTTCAGCATAATGCACTGATCCAAACCCACCTTGCCCAATCTTATTATCTATGCTGAAGTCAACAGTAGCCTTAGCAAACTCTTCATAAGAAAACTCCACAGATTGGTCTACTGTAATACGTGATAGCCCCGGAGAACCAAAATGAGCAGCTGTTTCCGAAGTCTTCTCCATTATATTCCCAGACCCTAAAGCCATAGTGCAGAGAAAAATTAAGCTAACCACAAGAGATACAAGGAATCCTATCACGCCCTAGGCCAGGGGCAGGGCTCGTGCGATTGGAACAGCCACAGGCTTACAAGTGCATTTGCACTGCATTAGGCTTAATTAGAGTTAGCTACAAGGGTTCAAGAGGTGGCTCGCATCCTCTCCAACATGTATGATTAATAATTACCAAGTCTAAAGTGAATATAGGCGCTTTCAGCTGTTTCTGGGAGTAATGATACCTCAACCTTCCTTCTTGTATGAAGTCCAAAATAACAACCAGCTGTCCACTTGGCCTGGACTTTGAAGGCTAGGAGGAGAAGAACACAAGAGGCTAACGATTGAATTTGGGTTTATTTTTTTCACAATCAGCCTAGATTAAGAGCATGTCAGCTAAGTCATGTTAGATAATAGTGGACAAAACTATGTTGTAGTAAGTCAAGAATGACAATCACTAGATAGCTACCAGCCACCTTCACAACGCTACCTACCATTATTTTTCGCACTTGAAACTTTGACTTTTCATGCTTTTATTTTGTGCATAAATAAATAATTAAATTTATGTTATTTTGCGTGGAAAATAACTTTTCATGCTTTTATTTTGTGCATAAATTAATAACTAAATTTATGTTATTTTGTGTAGAAAATAAAAGAAAGAAACACTAAAGAAAAGAAAATGATGAAAGTTAGAAAGTTTGCAATATATATAAACTGTTTTATCTCTCAAGAGTGTTTTAAAAACACCTCTCACACCAATAAACCCATGGTCCATGGTTTAGGGTAGTTCTAGTGGGTTGATACCTGGGCTCATAAAGGATTTTGGCCCGAGACAATCCTCTCTTGCGTATTTATTGTTTTGAAATTCTTCCGTGGCCACTTCCACAGTTTCTCAATTAAATTACAAGAACTCCATGTCCAATCTATTGCATTCTCTTTCGTTGTAGATTGGTCCCGTTATCAAGGGAGGGAGAGAACAATTTTGAAAGCAATCAGGCAACCAAATTCCATCCTTCATCAACTTGTTCAATCTGCTTCTAAATTCTAAACTTGTTCTCTTAATTCGATATGTTCTTATACATTTTCTACTATTCAGTCATGTTTAACTATTTTATATACTCATATACGTTCGAGCAAACTTCATATAGGCTCGTATGATATAGAAATACTAAAATATGAGCAGAAAATGTGAAAAGAATCCTGAGAACTACGTAGTTCTAAAGTATACTCCTACAACCTCTAGGATTTTTCAATGACCCTAACAACACGAAATCAGATACGATTTCTTGAAGAAGAAGATAGACAAGATCTAATGCTCAATAGGTGCCGGAGTATACGACACCAACAAATATACAGTGCTATAAACATGTGCACAGAAACACAAAGTCTTATCTTCTTGGCCTGATCCATCTGTATTCAAGATTGAAAAGCCCCGTCCGATTTCCCCATAAGTAAATATCCCTGCCATTGGGACCCCAGGAAAGTTAGCCAAGAATGGTGAGCTATCAACATTGCTGTGCCCAAAGAATGACTCACCACGGCCCCAACAAGCGAAAACGAAACCTCCAATAACTTCCTTTTCACCAACACCCCTAGCTGCATGAAGCTGGGAGCTTCTAAAACTCCAATCTAGCTTCAGGTTTCTGAAATTCTTGGAGATATTACTACATGAAGACAAAGCGGCGCTTGGATCTGAATGGTAAAGATGAAAGTAGTCTACAGTTTTTATGCCAACTCCATCCACAAAAAGGTGCTCTTCATCTCCACTGTTGACAAGCAACTATCTCAATGAGAAGAGAATCTTTGAAAATGGTCTTAAATCAAAAAAAGGAAAAAAGCTTCTAAATTAATTTATGGCTATGGTAATGACAAATACCACTGATCAACACTTATGTTTAATGGGGTGATCAAGACGGAAAATATCCGTAACTTCTGCAATTTTTCAAGTTTTGCACATTCTTTGGAGTACATGGAAAACTACTGCATGAAAAATACAAGGCAAAAATAGAAGATGAGAGTTCAACCACTCACCCCATAACTTCATGGAAAGCAAGAGATCTCATCTGTCTTGGCTTCTCTGGCCCAGCAAAGCATTTTCTTTGTTCAGAAACTCCAATGAACAGTTTAGTTTGGTTTCCCAACTGTAACATATTAAATTATAATTCAGAAAAGAGATAAATACAACAGAAAACTAACAACAACGAAAGGATGTACTGAATTAATTAAGAATCAAGATAATTAATAGGACACTAATTAGTAGACAGCTCAAGAACTTGATGTTCATATATAGTAGCAGAAGTGGCTTGCAACATGCACGAATGAAGGAGAGTGGCAGAGAATTTACATTATGTGTTATTGTCTTTAGACAGTATAGAATTTGCATTATACAGTACATTTTATCTCGAATGCAATATATTAAAGTGATCAAATCTTATCATATTAAGTCATGATAAATGTTCATTTCAATCCTCAATTTTTTCAAAATTTGCATTTTTATTTTTAATTATTACTTTTTTTAAGCAAATTCAAAATAAAGGGGCCTAATTACAAAATCGTTAAATGAACTGTTTTTCTTCTTTTCAAAAATGACAGGGACTAAACTATACAATGTTCCCAAAAAATCCACTGTCTACAAATCATTTTTCCATAGGAAAACACCAGATGCCTAAAGCATGGCTTTCCAAAAGACTAGATATCATACCTCATTGTTGACATCATCTATAATCCTCTGACCACCTAGAATCTCTTGTCCTCCTTCTCTTCTGACAGTAAGCCATGTACTAAGACCTGTCTCAGATTCCATCTCATTGGCAGAAACTGCCTTGAACCTTGGACCTATTGCAGAAACACCACTTGATAATGCAGAATGGAAATGGATTTCCCCTGTGCCTGCCATTAAGCCAGATTGATCAGGATCAAGAAAAGGCTAGTACATTGTCTATCTATTTTATTTGCAAGAACATAGATGAATAGAGTTAAAATACCAGAAGGCCTGTTTTGATCCCTTGCAAATACAAGAGCAACTGCATCAGAAAAATATTGATCGACGCTCCCATAATAGACATTTCTTGACTCTATGCCACTTCTGTACAGGAATTGAGCTCTCTCGTCGCCGACAACAATTGTTTCCCTCGACATGGCATGATCTGCAACACACAATGCATTATCAACTTCAAGAAGCAATATAGTAGATTGATGCGCGACAGTTTATCATGTCTGGCAAATATTTTAAAAATAAAGGCCAGGGACTCTGGTCAGTTTTTTCGCTCTATAGCAGCACAAAAGTTCTCATTACAGCTTTTCAGTCACAAAAATCTAGGCCAAGGATTTTGGTTGAGAAAAACTCACCCAGCTTTTCCATTACAGGTTTCTGGTCAGTTTTTTCGCTCTGTATCAGCATGAATTAAGGCACATCTTAGCAAGAAACTTTCTGAAGAAATACAAGGATATTTGCAAGAAAATAAGAAAAAAATTAGCTTACTCCAAACATTATAATCAGACTCGGTGATGTGGAATCAGATACTAAAGCTGCATAATTCCTAATATCCATCACGAACTTATCAACCATCGCCACTCCCCGTGCCTGATGTTACCATTTCAGAAAAAATACTCAAGATTAGTTAGCTTATTGTCAACAAATACATAAAGGTCTATGTATTTTCTTCAATTAATACTTTTATGGCTCACCGATTATGCAATTTAAGATTTTTTCCAAGATTTTAACAGTAAGGATATTATCGGACCACCTTTTGCACGCTAAGATTAGAAGACTTCTCGATCCGATCTTAAACAAGCCATCCAAACTTAGAATTTGAGACAGAAAAGATAGAGATAGTGAGGACATATGGGACATGTCCTCCTGTCTTTCCTGTTTTAAAATGACAGAATTCACTTCAAAACTGCACTAGAAACAGATTTATTTTATGTCTGTTTCTATCCTTCCAACCAAACATGTTTCTGTCCTTTTGGTGTTTGTCTACTCTATCCTTGGATACTAACAACTAAGAGCATCATCTTTTAAACGAAGGGTAATTGGTTGCATAATTTGTTACCTTTCTTGGTCGTAGCAGCTGGATGGCATCAACTTTTAGTCCTGGTAAAAATCCCACAGACAACATGATACCAAAGCTTGAGTTTGATGCACCATCAACCCAAAAATCTTCTATCATAACCTACATATTTTTGAAAAGAAACCACTAATGCATTCTTTCATGTCTCTTAGAAAGAACAAAAGCAAGCAATTAAAAGAATGTTACAGTGCTGACCTCTTTATATTCATCAGTAACAGCATCTCTTCCCATGATTCCACCAGCACAAGACACGATAATTGGAGTTTTGGAACCAAGTTTTGCTCCTAGCTATAACACAAACCGTACAGGTAATCCGACATTAACTTAACAAAAACACCAAAAAAAGAGAAGAAAATCCACAAGAACATGGTTGATGTTGCAGTTAATGTTCAATCTTACAAAATCGAGTATTCCACTCAAATGAACTCCACTCCCAATAACATTTGCAATGGCAAACTGGGGTCTAATTGGCTCCGAGAGAACCTTATTGACAACCTCTTCTAATGCAACCTGTTTGACCATCATCAGAAACAAAAACTCTATTCAAGTTAGAGACTGTACAGTAAAGTGATGGCTTTTCTGTTGGGTTTTTTTGAAGACCCGACAAACCTTTTGGACTGGATTGAGAGAAAAAGCGGAGGCAAGCTTTGGTTTATAGAGGATTTGATTGCAATTTCGGTTCCATGATTTGCTTACACAAGCTGCTGATGCAAAGGATAAAGCTGGTATTCGTTTGAGTATGTTTTGGAAAAGGTCGTCGTTTATTGACGCAAAGCCTGTCATTGGCGTTTTAGCTTCTTTTGGTTTTTCCTCCATTGTTGTTGATATCATAATTCTGCAACTTTTGCTTGACCTGAGAGCTGTTTATGGAGAGACCAGCAAAAAAATCAACTTGATATGGGACCCAATATTTTAGGCATATTTCAT